TTATCACCCAGGAAATTCCAAGGGATTTAGGAGCTGGGTGTTAGGAACCAGAATCAAAGACCAAACATCAGAACAAAAGATACTTCTAGTGCTCTTATCACTTAGGAAATTACAAGAGTTTTGGGATCTCTGGCCAGGAACTCTGGGCAGAGACCAATGTATATATTTTCTATTATTTCACACACATCCATTCTTTATCCATTACGTGGGGCTAAGATTCCGTTCCACTCACCACCTTCCTAAGTTTGACATGCACTGTCGGCACTCCTCCTTGGTACTCTTCAATTTCCACCAGAAGAGCAAGGCCACCTAAAACTTCCTAACTGTGTGAATTTTAGTAGTTGCTTTTTCATGTTTCAGTTTTCTCATCTTTAAGAGAGTTAGAAAGAGAGTACCTACCTCTAGAGATGTTTGCAAAATAAATAAGTTAATTATGCATGTAAAGTACCTTAAAATATGGACACATCATAAGTATTAAAGGCAGGCTCTTCATATTATTTATCTTTGACCTTATGTTCCTTCTTCTCAGTCTGAAGTATTTTACAAAGGATGGCTTCATATTACACTTTGATAAACCCCAAATTCCTTTTACTGACCTGTTTGGCTTTACACAATGAGCCTCCTGCCCACCTCCCCAACTCCATTCCACAGCTGCTTTCATTACTGCGCTGCTGGTGTACCAGTTGTCTTTTGGTTTTGTAATCTAACTAAGCATGTACCAAATTAGGACATTTGCATGTGCTGCTTCCCCTGCCTGCATATCCTGCCCTCTTCCTACTTAAAGTGGGTTGCACACTCTATTGTTTTCATATCTAGTCCACTGCTTACTTCCTTCTCAGTGCTCACCCAAATTGGAAAGCATTTTTATTCTTTGTTTACTTATGTGTGTGTGTATTTTAATGTTTTCCTGCCTTCCCATGATGTACCACATCATGACGTTTTGGTCAACGACGGACCGCATATACGACGGTGGTCCTGTAAGATTGGTACCCTATAACCTAGGTGTATAGTAGGCTATACCACCTAGATTTGTGTAAGTACACTCTATGATGTTTGCACAACTACAAAATCGCATAACGATGCATTTCTCAGAATGTATCCCTGTCGTTAAGTGACACATCACTGTAGTTGTAACATACTCTGTAGATACTCATTGAATGAATGAAAAAATTGAATGTTGCATGTTAATGATAAGCGTTAAGAAGCTAGCCATCAGTTTTCTTAGACATGTAGACAAACTAGAGAGACTCTGAGAGAACATCTTTGATCATTTAACCAATTACTTGTAGGAGGAAATTTCTCTTTCACTTAAAGAAAGATGAGTCTTCCTTGATTGTTCAGTTTGGTATTCATAAACTAGCATGATTTACTGAAAACATATGGATCATTCAATATACTTATGTGATTTATTTCTAAATGCCTATTTATCTTCTAAAATCTTCCTTGCAAGTATTCGTGTCCCTAGAGCTTTTATAATTTTTTTCTGTATTTTTTTAAAGAAGTCATAGAAAAACTTTGTCAAATTTTCCTTTCTAGTCCATGCCTAGAGAATTGAGAGCAATAAATTTTAGGAAGGCTAAGGATTTTGGAGTTTAATTATTTAAAGTCTTACATTAAAGCTATAGATCTGCTGTGCGGCACTGTTTATTTTCACTGTTAGCTAGATGGATGATTCTATGTACTTTTAGTTTTGTTGTGAAGATTTGGGTCAAAATTAGCAGTGTAGACAAGAAATGAATTTCTTCAGAGTTTATCAGAACCATGGGATGATTCAGGGAGGAATTCAATTGTGTAAAATTGTTTATATATATTCTAACTTACTCTTTTTAAATTCTAAACTGAAATTTTTCTCTTTGTTCTTTTTTCTTGACTTTCATAATGCTAAAAATTATGTATTTGAACATTGAATAAAAATGTTAGGAGCAAATCAAAGACAGAAACAAATGTTTTATTAAATATGCATCCTATAAAAAATGAATGTAGTCTAGAAAATTGTTCTATTTGGGAGGTAGAAGATAAAATTTGGGTTAGATAAATTAGGGTGCAAATTAAAGTCATTTATGTTAATTTTAACATTTAAATACACATCTAGAAATATCTAGGATGACTCCACTGAAACCTAGACATAAGTTCTTTTCTCACCTGAGCATGACTTTTTTTTTTTAGCTACTCAAGAAAAACAAAATTAAACTTGTTCTTCTCATTTTTCTTTTAGAAACTGAGCAGGTCTCTGTGACTCAAAGGAAAATTAAATACATGATGGATGATCTTAGGTTTTTTGTTTTTTTTTAATTTTAAAATACCTCTGAAATATGTTTAGGTTTTAAAAATAGGTTTTTATTGCCCTGTTTTTGTATATGTTTGCACAAGTCTGCATGCAAACATTAGTAATGAGTGATGTCAAAGTCTTGGGAACCCTTAGTTATAATCATGGCATGGACTTCTTCAGGATGCTGGAGGATCTGATGTAGCTTCTACCTCATGCTTTCCATAGGCTATACTCTGACAGATATGGCCCTTCTCTCCCTCCTCTGTCAAGGTCATCTTCAATGCCATCTCTTAAGACATAGCACTCTATTCCTTTATCACTGGTACAGAATCTTGTGCAATTACAAATAACTATTTGCTTTGATGATGCTCTCCCCCACAAAACCACAAGCTTTGAGGGCAGAGATTGTGTCACATTCGTCTTTGGAATTCCTTTTATGTCCTCATAACTCATTCGTGGGCTGTGCTCAACAAACCCTTGTGAAATGAAATAACTTAGAATTGCTAGATGATATTTATTGGAGATTATTTATGTACAAAGGAATAAAATCATATTAGTACCATATTGAAAAATCAGAGGCACATCAGTGCCATCTTCTGTGAAAATATTTATATCCTTGTACCTTATGTTCTAGGTATCCGTTTGACTTTCAACCCAGGGCAAATTGGAATGGCTATGAACATCTCTATGAACTCTAAAACCTTCAGTTGTAAAGATGAAATTATATGGAGAGGCTTACTTGAAACATTATCGTAGTGTGGAATATATCATTCTTAGCTTCCACATCTGATATTCCTCAAAAGGTCTGTATGCTTTGACTAATGTATTCTCTGTATGCTAAGATTCTATTAAAGTGATGTAATAATTTTATGGTAACATTCACTAATATATTAGTGAATTACAATATCGCTAATATATTAGTAATTCATAAATATTGGTTTAAGATTTTTTTTTTATTTATTCATTTTTTCCCCCCAAAGCCCCAGTAGATAGTTGTATGTCGTAGGTTCACATCCTTCTAGTTGCTGTACGTGGGACTCGGCCTCGCGTTGGACGGAGAAGTGGTGCCTTGGGGCGTGCCCGGGATCCGAACCCGGGCCGCCAGCATCAGAGCGCACGCACTTAACCGCTAAGCCACGGAGCCGGCCCAATATTGGTTTAATTAGTACCTTTCCCTGGTTAATCCACCTTGACTATGTAAAATCTATCATCACAGGTCATATATGTTTTTAAAAGATTCTTTTATATATAAATCAATACATATTAAGTGTAGTATAAGTCTTTACAAATGATATGTAAATAGTAGGGTATAGTTTTTATGTGAAAACTTAGATTATAAAATGTAATTTCATATTAATTTCAAAATAATCAGCTATTTGTAGTCATATATATCTGTGTTAAGGCCTTCTGTAATAGATCATCCAGTCCAAATTTAATAGTAAAATAAGGAAGTATTTTAGTCTAGAGAATTTATTCTTTAACCTTTGAAATATCTTTTTAGCCATGACTATATCTCATAATTTAGCTTCAAATACATGAAGTAAGGCTTAGTACATCATGCCCATGATGAATCACGTAGCAGAGAACAAATGTAGCATAGAAAAATAAAGAAGTGATATTTAAAGGAAGGAGTGTTGAGAATCTGCATTTTTCCTTGATATCAACATTTAGCACCAAAATGGTGTAACATACCAGTGTAGTAGAGAGCCACTGCCTTTCTCTGACTCTTTGGTGTTTGAGGGTTTCTGTTACAAAAAGCAGTCTGGAAGAGTGTTCTGTTGTGCGTTCACACATGAAGGGTTATCCTTTAAGAATAAACAAAAAACATTTAGTAATGTACTGTTCGTTAACTATGAAACCCAAAGACCTTATCTACTTAGTAGCAATATTCTTCAAGAGTTGAAGTCACCAGAGAAGTGCATTAAATGATTTATCCTCTTTTTCCACTTACTACCCTCCCTAGCGATGTAAAATGGTGAGTGTCAGACATGTGGGTATTCTGTCAAATGTCTCAAGTACTCACTTGCTTGTTAGGATCCTCACGGGTACGTACAAGGAGCAGTGTAGCGTGAGAGTCATCCTTTAAAGAGACGATTCCATGGTGAGATGACAAGAAAATTGCCAAATGATCTTAGGATGATTACTGATCTGATAGAGACTAACTTTGTCATCATAGAGCCAAGAGAACAGGGCATGGCTGGATCTTGTCCATTCTTACCCACTGCTATAGGGGGAAAAAGTCTCTGCAGGCTGAGGATTAGTTCTTGGAAATAAATGATTTCTAAATTGTTGATTGGCTCTTTTCACAAATTAAATTTTGCAAGGATTTAAAATTCTTAATTTAAAGAAGCTAGATCTAACGTAGACATGCACTAAACTGATGACTATCTTCAACAGAAATTTAATGGTGTCCAGATTAATGCAGATGAGATGTCCATTGGTAACCTCAAACTTGTCTCCATTTATTCTGAATTATCAAACTGCACATGAACTAAAATGGTTGGTTATAGAATCAATGTTTAGTCATGCCTGTGTAGGTGTCTTCTCTTGGTTAGTTGCTTGAATTATTAGGGAACCAGTTAAGAATTACTTTATGCCTCTACCAGCTAGTTCTTGTAACGAGCCAAAAGAAAGCTTATAAGGAATGTAACATTGGTTTGAAGTAATAGCGCCATCGCTTTTACTGAATGGAGCAATATGTCTCTCTCTCTCTATTTTATTTTAATAGGAAAAAATGTGCTGAGATGGAAAAGAAATCAAGTAGATTTCCATGGAGGCATTTTTAAAGGCATCTTCTTAGAAGGACAATGTAATGGTAAGTATTAAGAATAATCATTGACCTCTGCTGACTTATTTTATTGATGCATTTACGGCCTGGTCAAATCAAATCAAGAAGTGCTTTCCAATTACTCTGGTGGTGAAAATAGTTTTCCTTTTTTAAAATCTACTTGAAATTGACAAAAGTACCAACCAGTGGTGTCAAGCGCACATAATGGCGTGCGTTGGAAATTTAGGATTTCATAATAATGATTTATTCCTCCAAATAGCCACAATGCGGAGTCCATCTCATAAATTAGACATACACAAATGAGAGAACTATCTGACTCACCTTGTGTAAACCCCTCTGAAATGTACCTTGGACCCACTGGTCACTGGAAGACCACTCTGTTCTAGATTAAACATCTCAAGCTATCGGAACATTTGAATGGCTCCAGCATTCCGTTTTACCCTCTATGTTTGTAGCCCCTGTAGAGTGGGATCCAAAATGTTAGATGCATGCTTCTAGTGCAGGCTGAGGGTCCACTGAGACCATTGGATCCTTCTCTCTACCTGGAAACCGGTAATAGAACAGATCCCAAGGAATGGGAAATGGGTAGAATATTTTATGATTTATGGTTGCGAGTACATGTTAATGAAGATAATTCATAATTCACAATCTGGACCCTTCCCCCCATACTTAAATTTCAGAAAAGATGTGCTTTAATACGTTTCAAGTAAATGGTTATGTGTTTTTATGGCTCAGCTGTCAATTCAGGCTCTGCTGAGGCAGTCTTTATGATTATATTACTTAAATACAAGTTATTTACCAATTTTCTTATCACGTTGAGTGCTGTAGCTTCCCAACATTTGTCAAAATGTTGACCACAAATGGCTTTTGAGCATCTCTTTACAGCTGACCACATAATTTCCATATCTTTACTTTGTATCAAACTTCTGTAGATTTCCTGGATTCTAGAAGGTTGTCAAGGTCATGTCCTTTATTGAATGCGTTTCCAACAAACTTGATTTTTAGACTCCTCTGCATATATCCTTCCACCAAAAAATGCTAGTTTTTTTTCCAAAGATAATTTGTAATTAATAAAGAAAGACTAATACTGTCGTCCTTTTAACATGCAAACTTGGAAGATGATCATAGTCAAGAAAGTGGATGATCAACTGTTTGCTATTTTTATCTTGTATACCTTTATCTATTTTATCAAAGGTATTCGATGCACACACACATTTCTCATCAGGATACACAGCTAAATAACTGATAGCAACACATTATGGAAATCCCTTCGCCTTCTGAATTGCACAACAGTTGTCTGTTTTCATTTTCATTTTCCTTTTTCAATCTGGAGGAGCATTAACATATAACCGAGGCATGGAGTCTCGAAAAGATTCATCTTCCTTCTCTCGCAAGCTGCCTTTGGAACAGCCACCCGATGCAGCCTGGCTTGTAATCATTTCAGTAGCCGCAGTGCAAAGAGCACTCACTTTAATATAATCAGACTGTCCTAGCTCCAAGGAGAAGCGGTAGTAATAGGTCTGGCATCAGGCTCAGAGCTGTAGAGTCACAGCTCATAATAAGACAGCTCACATTATGAAACCCAAAGGGAACATTATATAAAGTGCACAATCAGAGGAAGAAAATTGAGAACTTTTGAATCTGGAAAGGCTTATTGTTTTACCATATGCACTGAAGTTCAGTCTACATTTGAAACCACTGGACAGTATCAGAAAATTTCTGCAAGAGTGCCTAACCACCTCCCCAATAAGGGGAATGCTTTGGAGTGACAGTTTGGGGTGGCCATTGAGGAGTGGTGATTCTATGTTGCAGCTTCCTATATTGTATCCCAAGGATGTCTTGGCTGGATGCAAAACCAATGACAAAAGAGTTTGCCTTGCCCAGCATTCTTAAGATCCTGAATGAGAACTAAAAGCATTGTGACTCTTTAATTAGAGTCGTAGTCATTTATGAGGGGTGCAGGGTTTGGTGGAAAAATACATGGACCTCTGAATGAGGGCATCTATGTGGTAGTCTAGGTCTGCTGTGAAGTAGCTAGTTTTCCATGATCAGGCTCCTGATATATTTAAGGAATAGAGAGGTATGCATTAATTCCCTTTTCACTATGAAGAATCTGTGATTCTAAATGAAGAAAACTAGCTGTCTAGGAAGTGCAAATAATTCTTTAAGCCTATTTAATACTTGGAAATTTCAACTTATGCCAGTTTAACCAAGTTTTCTATACAATGTTTACTGAACACTTTCTGGTTTTGTGACTCCTGTTAAAGGAAATTCTTTGCAATGGATTTTCATGGTTGTCTGGGATGGTTTTGGTGAACCGATGTTAGAAATTTCTTTATTTTATTCCAAGGATGGCTTAGCTCAATTCAAAACTGACAACCAAGAAAACTTCCTTTCATGGCACTCCTGAAACCACAACTTTCATTTCTAAGTGAAGGGATCAAGGGGTGAACCAGGAATTAGGATGTTCAGTATTATATGAAACTGAATTTGTTAGTATGTTGAAGATCCTGATGATCAGGGTTATCCTAAGGGCTAATAAATTTGAACATTGAAATAATATGTTTATAGTCTACACAGTTCTGAATACATTATCTGAAAGAATCTTTTATTAAACATTTTTTGATTTAGAGGGACACACAGGTATGTTAATCAATTTGATAGAGCAACTGGGATATAGACAAATATAATAGTACAAAAATATATAAATATAATAATAAATAATATAAATATAATATATAATAATAATATAAACAATTTGTTCTTGGACCTCCTCAGTCCTTTTCCTTTCAACTGTTTCTCATATCCATAATATTTGGGAAAATAGACTGCCTATTTTTTCCTGGTTTATTGCTCCTTTTCTGCCAAAAGGATGTATTTCAGAGTGGAAAAAAGGGCAAGTATAACTAGTTAAATAGATCATCTTACATTATTTATAAGTTATTTATGTATGAGGATTTGTTTGATCTCTGGAGGACATAAGTAAACTCAACTTGGAGTAAATGACCAAATGATACATATCCTAGTGTAAGGAGAACCTGCTGTGGCCCGTGGGCAAGTCACCCCTTTATATAAAATTTTATTGGAACACAGTCACGCCCTTCTATTCACATTTTTGTCTATGGCTCTTTTACACCACAGTGCCAGAGTTGAATGGTTGCACCAGAGACCGCATGGCCTACAAAGTCTAAAATATTTATTATTTGACCCTTTACAACGAGTTTGCCAATCCATACTTTAGGGAATGGTGTGATTCTTTGGGGCTTGGGAGGACAGTTCACGATGAATGTCTTGGATCCATAAATTGGTAATGAATATCAATATATAACAAATTATTAATAATATAGATAGATGCTTTCATACTAGAAATTCTATTAATGCATTCTCTATAATCTCTTAAACATAGAGCATGTATTTGTAACCTGGCATTTGTAATGTGCATCAATGGGGTCTGGGACCACCCTGGAATTTTACATGTGAAATGTACATGCACCAGGGAGAAATTCCATGTCCATCAACAACAAAACAAATGTGGTGCAGCTGACACACTCCAATTAGCGTGGGTCCTCTCTAGCTCTTCCAGTGATGGATTCCGATCGCTCTCTGATTGTAAGGGCAAACGTTCATAATTAAGCAGATTGACCACGGAGAACCATCTTGACCAGTTTTGCCAAGCCCCAGTCCATTTGTTCCACAATCTAGAAGAAGGGAACACTTGATTAAGCACAAGCAATTATGGTGATTTTTAGTCTGCTTCACTAAACTTTTTAATGAAGCGCATTTTATACAGTTAAAACCAGGGAGTTCATTGATTCCATTTTTTGTGCGTGTGAGAATTTGAGCGCAAGGTAATTCTGACCCAGCACGCTTCCTTGAAGTGGATAATTAATATCAATGGGGAATGGAGTTGTTTTGTCTTTCTCTGGCAGGTTGCTGGATGTCACACTTGGCGTGCTGTGGACCCGTAGTAAATATTAACATAATATATTTCAGTGCTAGATGAATAAGGCTCTTTTGCCTAAAAATCTTCCTTTAATATGCCTTACTTCTTTCCCTATCCATGGAGACTGCTGAAACATGATTTTCAGTTGTGTTCCTAAATATTAATGTATTTAAGCATGACATGGGGACAATGGAGAATGTGACACTTAGGGCTTCAGTGAGGCAGAATGTAACACAGTCTGAGTGAAAATTGTTACTGCACTGAACTGGAACACTGCTCATCATTCCCGTACGTGAACCTTTACAGCATCCTTCTTTGTATGTGGTTGGAAATTTACGTAGAGAAATTTCAATCTTTCCAGATGAAAGATTGAAGATTCCAATCTTTCCATGGAAGATCTTCTTCCATGTAGAAGATTCTGCATAAATGTTGGGTGAATGCAGGCCAACATGCACAACACAGTAGTTTGACAGGCAGTGAACCAGGCACCGCCTGGAAACCAGTAGCCCTTAAGTCTAGTCCTGGCTAAGTAGCCCAAGTGGGCAAGTAAGGTTGGACTTGTCCTCTTACCTCTTTCTGTCCCATCAGCTGAGAAGTGAGGGGAATGAGCCTGGGAAGTGTCAGCTTTGTCCAACTCTGGGAAGGCGCTATTCTGCGCCTGAAGCTTCCCTGCGTATTGGTCCAGAGGTGACCAACCTCTAAGTGGAGGTGGTTCTTTCCCATTGTGCAGATAATCCTTCAGTGATGCTTTAACATTAGATGGAGAAAATAAAGTTCTTTTGGTCCATATTTGTTATGTTTCAGTGAACCAAACATTTTATTTTCACCCAACGATGGATAGGTATTATTTTCTTCCTTGAAATTTTGTGACTCTGGGTGAGGAAGAAAATAAATGCAGTGTCTTATGGCATTTTTCTATAGATAATAGCAACTTGGAAGCAATGGAGTGTCCATTCAGAGATTCCCCCCCCCCCCATTATTTGTTCTGGTCTCATATATATGCACAGAAGAATATAAATTATTTAGCATTGACTTATCTGTAATTAAGCCTTCTAAATGGACTACGATTTTAGCTGCTATATTT